CATCTAGGCACTTTCGAGAAAACTAAAGAAAACCAACTCGCTATTAACCAGTCATTTTGCCGCAATGCAAAGCAATGCTTCAAAAGAACTCAACGAACCAAACCAAACTACTTGAAGACGTCAAAAACTCAGATAGAAGAGCAAAAACCACCGAAAATCAATCATCAGGTATTAAAATTAAAAATACACCGGCTTTATATTTAACGACAAACAACGTTTCCTAAGTTCAATCAAAACAAAGAATCCTCCCGTATTGTAATCCATTCCCTTTGGTTAGAAAGAAAAGAAACAGAGCAAGCGGATTTTTAATAAGGGAGCCGTAAAAAGTCCTGACAACAAAGCCAATTTAAAGAGTATTTTCACTGAAGTGTTTTTTAATTCGGTTTTTTGGTTACCTTTTCTCCGTTGCGCCGTAGGTCTTTCCAGTTTCCCTTCCGGTTTTTCCTTTCCAGTTGAACTAATTTTTTCACTTGATGTTGTTTTTGTAGTTTGTTCCGTTGGCGGTGCAGTCGTAGTTGAAGAAGGAACTACATAAAAACAGAGTATAAAAAATTCCCTTAGGGGTTTGTTAAATGCATCATCATCATCATCACCATAATAATGATAATGATAATGATGATGATGATGATGATAATAATAATATGGTAAGTTGAGTCTGCCAGATATTTTTGGAAGCGCAGAGTTGTCAGCCATCGTTGGTGCTGCCCAAATCTTGCGGAAATTATTATGTCTCTAGGCTGCGGGATTGCAGCTGAACTGAAGAGGATTACACCATAATAATAATAATTACTTTATTTAACCTTAGCAGTATTTATAGCACTAATGCTAGTGAGGCCGAGCAAATGCCTGAGAGAAATAATTCAAATCAAGATGGCTATTACAAACGTGGGCCAGGATTTGAAGTTGGGACTAACCTGAACAATTCCGTCCCATGGCGGGACTTGAACTCGGGGCCTCCGAATTACAAGTCCAGCGCTCTAACCACTTGGCCACGCTGTCTCCTCTAATCGACCCCTCGACCCCGAGAGTCGAGCCAGAACTGACGTTATCGACCTAGCTGCAATAAGTGAATTCATCGTGACGTCTCTGTTTACATTTTTGCTTATTAGCATAAAAGTTAACCCATTGACGATGTAACCGTATATACCAATTAGGCTTAAAAATTAAAAGAGCTTGTTATTTTATGCAGTTTGTGCAAGTTTCAGCTCTTTGCAATCAGTAACAATTAAAAACCGCAAATTTACTGAGTGGCGAAACGTTAATGAGCTGATACATTCTTTGTAAATTTTGACGGTTTTTCAAAGAGAATTTCTCCGAAACCATTAGGTATGTCGGGCTCAAATTTTCAAAGATAACTTAAGTTGTTATGCTCTTTCAATATTCAGAATTTTAATATTATAAGCTTCATCAGATAATGATACGCCTATGCTAATGAGGCAAAAAGTGTAAACGAGGATTCGCCTATATATCGTTCTAATCTGTGTTCTGAATAGTGCCAAATAACAATCTGGAATCAAACTGATTCCGAGTCTACAGACTTTGCAGCTAGCCATTGACGTACAAAAGCGCCGTGCTCGAGAGAAAAAGCCGTATTGGGACAACACAAACAAAGGAAATTACCACTGAAAATTATGTATGCCTTTTATTTGTCTTTTCCCAATGCCACTTTTGCTCTGTAGTAAGGCGATTTTTTACCACGTGAATGGCTCGCTGCAAAGGACTTTTCTTAAGTAAATCTTAGAGAAATAACCATAGAAACGTATTCCACGAAAATGTTTTAACTGCCTGTTTTTTTTCTCGGAACGTTACACGCCCGAAAACACCCTTTCAGCAGATCATTTGATAACTTTACCGGTCTTTCCGACACAAAGTCGTTTCGATACAAGTTTATTCAGTGGTGGCATTGAAGATTCACCCAAGATGTTTTTTTTGTTTTGTTCACGCGCAAACTATATTCGAGGTGAAAGAAACTTTTGCGCAAATTTCACAGCCTGAAGTGTTCGTCTGGAAACGGCTTTGTATCGAAAGGACCTGTTTCCTTTCTTTCGCTTGCCGGATTTTTGCGTACTCGGGAGAGACTCTGGAACAATCGAGTAAGATCTTTGTTGATACAGTTCCGATGCCAGGCCTAATAACCATGACCTTGGTACAGTGGGCTCAGTTATGGCTATCGGTTTATCAACAAACGGATGCTCGCACCCGAGACAAGACAGTAGAGACCTTTACATTCCAAGACGCGTACGACTACGAGTACGAGGCTTTCTTAATTCTTAGTGGTGTACGTGCGTGAGCCAGCGTCATTTTGGTGGGAAAACGTGGTAGCCGTCGTCATTCTACTACGAGTTTTCGCGCGAATGTCGTGGTGGCGAAAACAAGATATCAAATGTCAGAAGTTTTATCATTTTGGGATCGGGAGAGCGCGTAACCTCCTTCACAAAACATAAGAATACCAACTTTTCTAGTGAAGAACGGTAAAATGAAGCTTTCCGGGAAGTTTATATTTTGAGGAGACGCGAAAAAACTTCAAGTCAAATCTAGTAAGCGTAGTCGTCCTCGAATTTAAAGGTCTCTTGTTAAACGGAGACAGAACAGGGTGCCCAGTAGGGTTCTCCAATCCCGTAATCTCGACCCAAAATTACGTGCAATCCCGTAATCCCCAGGGTTATTTGGAGCATTCTAACTTGCGTGCATACTTTCAATCCTGAATCTTCGCCGATTTTGCTTTAAAATCCTGAATCCCGAGCTTCAAATAAGGGAAATCCCCGATCCCGATAAACCTATTGGGGACCCTCAAGATTGACTAGTTCAGAAGATTTTCAAGGAAACTTTCTCTTTACTAACCTGGACATCCATATATCTCCAGTCTCATTGATATCTGATTGTGCCACTCCACTGGTAAGATACGGATTAGACGTGCTGTGATTGGTGGGACTAACACGTTATACACCACGGTATCGCTGTCGTGATTTGCGTAAAATACCTTTAGAACAAAGATGAAAGAGAACAGTTGCTTTATTCCTGTTTAGCAGACATTTTAATGTATAATTGATAAAATATCAAGCAAATTCTTCTTGTGTGATCATGTCCGTAATTCTCATGATCACTGTGTTTTACAAAGCATTGATATTACANTCTGATTGTGCCACTCCACTGGTAAGATACGGATTAGACGTGCTGTGATTGGTGGGACTAACACGTTATACACCACGGTATCGCTGTCGTGATTTGCGTAAAATACCTTTAGAACAAAGATGAAAGAGAACAGTTGCTTTATTCCTGTTTAGCAGACATTTTAATGTATAATTGATAAAATATCAAGCAAATTCTTCTTGTGTGATCATGTCCGTAATTCTCATGATCACTGTGTTTTACAAAGCATTGATATTACAAGAAGAAATTTGATGCTGATCAATCTTAGGGCGTAAAGGGTTAAATTACTTGAAGATTTTTCAACATATGACTCTTTCGCCCCAGCGTCACTCCCGGACGGAGTATTCTCCGCGGTTGCAATGCTTTTTCACGATTTCAGAGCAAGTAGAAGAAACGCACCATTTAATCAAACAAACATACTTTTGGTGAACTGTTGACTGACTTCTTGACAAAAGTGAAGGTTATTCCAAGGTCTTCACTGTACTGCAGTCGGTACTTGACCACCCACGCCTCACGTGCATTCTTTCCTTGCGTCGCCACCCTAGTGACTCTGGTGGAGCCACCAAGATCCACCTGAATCCATTGGCCAAAGTCATTGTAAAGAGCAGACCATCCTCCTTGCATGAGGCCATCTTCCTTTAACTGTAATCTTGCCAGTGCTGCCCTATTGTTGTCATCCAGCTGTGAAGACGCGGTGATATGAGCATCTGGGATTTCATCATTTTCCATGCCAAGGGCACTGACGCATCCTAGGATAATTTAAAAATGCCAAGAACTGAGGACTTCCAAAACTTATATATCTGAATATAATTTGTAGAGCAATTTCAATGAACTTGGTCGGATTTTCAAAGTTTCAGTTTTCGAGCAGTTTGGCTATTAAATCGCAGTTGTCCTTCCCATAGGCTGGTATAAAACAAACTGGCTTCAAAAAACTTCCGTTTGTGATTTTGTAGCATACAGAGAAAGCATTATTCAAAGTAACTCCCTTAAAGCAGTCATTATACTCCCTCGTCCCTCTTCCTGCTTTTTCCTCACAAACCCATCGATAATGACGTTTCATTAAACGGCAGGTAACAAATAGAATATGCAATTGAGAAAAGATGTGGTCTAAGACTCTCTAAGACTGCATTACCGGCCCTACCCCTTTTTTCTTGTTTTTTTTTTCCGTCAGACCTTCTTCGTTCGCAAACTATTGAGCATTGTTTCGTTATATCCCCAATTTCTCGAAAATCCCCGTCCAATTAAAAGTACCACCTCCCGCTCTTTCCTGTCCCGCCTCCGACTACCCCTCCAGACCTCTATTTTCCGGGATTCTCAACCTTATGTCGTCCCCAGGGCAGCAACAGTGACAAAAGAGACAACAGCAACAGCAGTAACAACAGAGACAACAAAGACAAAAGTGTCAACAGCGAAAACAATGGCGACCACAGTGACAACAGTGAAACTGGCGACAACAGCGACAACAGAGACAACACCAACAATAGTGACAACAGTGGCAGCAGCAAAGACAGTGACAACAGCGACAACAGAGACAACACTGAACAACAGGGACAAAAGTGAGAACAGCGACAACAGCAGCAACATAGACAACAGTGGCAACAGCAACAGCAGAGACAACTTTAAAAACACGGACAACAGTGACAACAGAGACAACAGCGACAACAATGACAACAGTGACAGCAGAGACAATAGTGACAACAGGCGAGAATAGCGACAAAGTGGCAACAGTTAAAAAAGGATAATAGTGACAACAGTGACAGTAGGGACAATAGAAACAACAGCGACAACCGTGAAAAAAACGACAACGAAGACAAAAGTGACAACAGCGAAAACAGTGGCGACCACAGTGAACACAGTGAAAATGGCGACAACAGCGACAACATTGACGATAGAGACAACAGCAACAATAGGGACCACGGCGACAACAGTGACAACAGCGGCAACAGTGAGAACAGTGACAACGTTGACAACAGCGACAATAGTAACAACAGTGACAACAGAGACAACAGCCAAAAAAAACAACTAAATCGATGAATTCACGCCAGAAATGTCAGGAATACATCAAAGGTAAGTCTTCTTTATTTATTTTATAGAAAAATGAGTCAGAATAATGACATTTGGCGTTCGCAGACCTCAGTATGTTATTTCTTATACAAGGTCTCAACGGTTGCTTGTAGCACAACACCGACTCTCTTGTGAGAAAGTTTATTTACATGACACAATCGTAACGTGGGCTTGGGACGCCTGGGTCTCTTTGGATATTTATTGAAAAAAGTGTTTACAGAAAAGTTCAGCACCCAAAAGACTGGCATGGAAAACAAAATGGCCGCCGTTTGATTGTTTTGGAATACAAACATTACCACCCTGACAAGAGGAGAAAACGTTTTAATATGAGATATGTGGAAATGGCCAATTTATAACAACCGCTCCTCCTTAACTTACTCAAATTACCTGGACAACCATACAGCTCTATCCTCATAGATATACGACTGTTCCAAGCTATAGGCAATACACGAAGAAACATTGTAGTGACTGGTGGACTCAGTGCATTATACACAACAGTATCACTGTCATCGTTTCCAGTAAAAACCTGTAATAAGCAATGAAACAGTGAAACCATAAACCCTAACCCTAAGAGCAAACAAACGGCCAACAAGTCTCTCAGTTCAATGCTTGGTTAAATGTGTTTGACCTAGTCCTGAAAAAACTGTTCACAATATAGTCGGTGTTTACCAGCTATGTTGCCATAGAAAACAGGTTATGACTTCACACAGGGTCTAATCAAAACATATTGGGCGATCGAAGTAGCCTAGCTTGTTGGAAAAGAGAACTGATTTAAAAACATCTGGTTGCCTTTAAAGTATTTTGCATATACGTGTGTGAAGGTACCTTAGCTGATTTGTTTCCATGTTCTTTGTAAAACTGAAAGTTCATTCCATCATCACTGTACTGTAACTTGTAATTGGTCACCCACTCAATGGACCCAGTCCTTCCCTGAGTCGCTACACGTGTTACTGTGCTGTAACCTCCAAGGTCCACCTGTAGCCATTGGTGGAGATCGTTTTTAATGGCACTCCACCCACCCCCTCCAGTTAGGTTTTGCTCTTCTTTGAGGTGCAGCCTGGCCTTGCTTGGAGAGCTATTGTCATCAGACATTGAAGATGCACTGATCTGGGCATCTGATATTTGTTTATTTTCCATACCAAGTGGTGCTATACAATCTGTATGGTGCGATAGTACAGTTCATTTTTTGGGGCGGTATGTTTGAACTGAAAGTCGTAGCTCAAGCAAAACTATCCGTAAGTGCGTTACGTAAAACACTTTTAATGAATGTGACCACCGGAAAATAAAACAGTCATCAAGTAGTATTTTGAACGGTCATACCAAAGAATCCATACGTTTTTTCTTTATTCTGTTTGGAAGTGGAAAATTTAATGAAAAATGTCTTAAAAAGTTCAATTTGTGATCCAATCGTTTATCCATTTATCCATTAGGAGATAAACCATCATAGAGGAACTATTAGCTGCGGTTACACGAGACAACTAAACCATAATAATAGGGAGCCTTTAAGCGACGACGACGGCGTGGGCAGCCAGAACAGCGAAAAAGCAATAGGTGCAATATAAGCAAAACGGCAACTTTGCACANTAATTGGTCACCCACTCAATGGACCCAGTCCTTCCCTGAGTCGCTACACGTGTTACTGTGCTGTAACCTCCAAGGTCCACCTGTAGCCATTGGTGGAGATCGTTTTTAATGGCACTCCACCCACCCCCTCCAGTTAGGTTTTGCTCTTCTTTGAGGTGCAGCCTGGCCTTGCTTGGAGAGCTATTGTCATCAGACATTGAAGATGCACTGATCTGGGCATCTGATATTTGTTTATTTTCCATACCAAGTGGTGCTATACAATCTGTATGGTGCGATAGTACAGTTCATTTTTTGGGGCGGTATGTTTGAACTGAAAGTCGTAGCTCAAGCAAAACTATCCGTAAGTGCGTTACGTAAAACACTTTTAATGAATGTGACCACCGGAAAATAAAACAGTCATCAAGTAGTATTTTGAACGGTCATACCAAAGAATCCATACGTTTTTTCTTTATTCTGTTTGGAAGTGGAAAATTTAATGAAAAATGTCTTAAAAAGTTCAATTTGTGATCCAATCGTTTATCCATTTATCCATTAGGAGATAAACCATCATAGAGGAACTATTAGCTGCGGTTACACGAGACAACTAAACCATAATAATAGGGAGCCTTTAAGCGACGACGACGGCGTGGGCAGCCAGAACAGCGAAAAAGCAATAGGTGCAATATAAGCAAAACGGCAACTTTGCACATGCATCCCGCTTTTTTGTACATTTCTTTGCCATCGGCACGACTACGAAGTCGGAACTGCCTAATTTTGTGTTTTTGTGGTGGACGTTAAGGCAAGACGACGAATTTTTTTCTTTCTCTGAACTTGCATACAGCTGTTTTAGAATTTAACCCCAGAAAATTTGCCAACATTTGATAACTTGAACGTGATGAAAGAAGCGCGGTGAAGTTTGAAACAGTTAGTACAAAATCACTTTAATGATTAGTGACGTTTTAGCAACCGTCGCCGTCGTGGTTACTCCCATGGCAAATGTAAGGCTAATTTGGCGTGAAAATTTGACTAAAGTAAAACCCTAGGTAGATTACAAAGGATTATTTCTTTTCCGCCGGTAAATCAGCAAATAAACGCTACATAGGGTGCTAACCACGGTTATTTTCAACATGCCAATTCAAGTTAATCATTACCGCTCACACTGCACTCTAGCTTACATACAACTCTGAGAAAATTATTTGTAAGTAAAGCACACCTGGGCAGCCGTAGATCTCTACTCTCATTGATATGTGATTATGCCACTCTATTGGTATAAAGCGAATGTAGCGTGCTCTCATCGGCGGGCTTAATCTGTTTGTAAAAACGCTGTTACTGTCTTTATTGCCTTCAAACACCTAAAAGGGGAAAACAAGCCTACTAATTTTCACTTTCTCATTTCAAGTAAATCCCGGCTAATCAGGACAAACTGAATGACCAACGGTCACCCCAACTGTTTTCGGCGACGAGTTGGAATTAGACACCACCGCTTTTTTTCGTAAGATCATCGAGATCGAGCGCCCTGCGTTACGGGCGGCCATCTTGGTTTCAAATTTTTCGAGTTTAGCCTGGAGATGAAAGTCAAATCTACTTAGGAAGCGGAGGACGGTTTGGGAGGAGTCCTCCATCCCCTATCGCTACAAACCCCGACCCTGCCTCCCCCTCGGTAAATATGAAACCAAGATGGCCGATCTTACGAAAAATAGGGTACTGCGAACAGCCTAAGTTAGAATTAACAGTAAACCAATCTACCTCCCTCTAGCTCTGATGGATAATATCATATTTCCTACCGCTTTACGGCTTTCGAGATTACTTATTCCAACCCTGGAGAAAAATATCACATTAAATGCATTCCAAGCATTTTAACGTATATTATATTTGACGAACCAACAAATATTACACCCCTACTTCTGGAGTCAATGTTGTTTGCCTCTTTAGATGCATATACACCTGTAGACTATGTAATATTTCCTTCAGTGGCTTTGTCAAAGATTGCAGTTACGGTTAATGACAAAACCCACAAATCACCACAAATCTAACGAACACGACTGAGCTTTATGTATACTTACCATTGCTGAGCTGCTTTCCCTCAGCTTATAATACATGAAGATATTTCCTGCACGGCTATATTTCAATCTGTACTGTGTCACCCATTCGTTTCGTCCATTCCCTCCTTGGGTCGCTACACTTGTTACAGTTGTGTAACCACCAAGTTCTATCTGAAGCCACTGATAAAAGTCGTCTTTAAGAGCCGACCACCCTCCCCCCGTCCTGGAATCAGCTGTGAGATGCAGCCTTGCTTGCAAAGCGGTGTGTTTGTTGTCAAGTGACGATGAAGCGGTTATCCTGGAATCATGGATCGCTCCATTTTCCATACCAAGCGGTGTCGTACAGCCTAGATTTGTTTTAGAGGCAGAAACATCAAAAAAACTTAATACCCTAGCTAATTAGGCATGGTTTGGTCCCTTTCTGTAGAAATCCCAAATAAGCAAGATCCAGCCACTCTCTCAAACTCCCGGGCTACTCAACAAACGTTTATACACGTAGGTTACCCAAGCAATGTGTTTGTTATCACGTGATAACGAGGTGGCTATCCACGAATAAGGGATCGTTCTATTTTCCATATCAAGCAGTGTCGTACAACCTAGATTTGTTTGATTTGGTCGGATTAGGTTTCCCTGGATATTTTCCCCCCGCTAGCTACGGCTCTGGTAAGCAGATAGTGGACCGGTAGTGATGCAAGATCAATGCCCAAGGAAAGTGACGCACTCCAACAACACGCGCACCGCCATGTCTCCTGGTGGCAGCCACAGACAGCTGCTTCGTTCAGTCAGAACGCATCAGTATAGCGTACATGTAAGGACGGCCCCATTCACAAGAACCCGGATATTTTTTAAACCACATTTTTTTTACACGAATCGGCCTTCCTTCCACACGAAATTAGCAAATCCGCTAACCGGAAACGGGATCTTTTAGAAATCCCTCCACACTGTAGTTTCGTCTCGGATTCAACGGATTTGCAAATTCGTGTAGCCGATGGTAACCGGATACTATCGTTTTTCGATCGAATCACCTAAAAATGTGTTTTCAGCCATCCTCTAGTTATGTGGACAGTGCCTGAAGCTTGAACGACTAAAAAGCCGTAGATCTTCATCCTGATGGAGATGTGGTAGCATAACTACAGCGGTTAGGTTTGAATGGAGCGTGTTGCAATCAGCACCGGATTCAAACTATTGTAAGTAGTCTTACTGTGCAAGTAAGCGAACAATGTAAGTTTGAATACCTGGACAACCGTAGATCTCCATCCTCATGGATATGTGTCCACGCCACTCCATCGGTTTGATTCGAATGAAGCGCGTTGTAATGGGTGGATTCAAAATGTTGTAAACAATGGTGTTACGGTCTTTATTTGCGAGGAAAACCTGCAGTGATTCAGAGAAAACAATTTCACGCACGTAGTTGTATCTTGGGTAACACTTTAAAGTCCAAGCAGAATATGTTAAATGTAAGGAAATTCTGTTGGTTGTTCGAAAAGTCATACTATCTTCCCACTTTGGAACATAAAGTTAGTAGTAGCTCAACCAACCAGAACGCAGCATTGATAATCGACAACTAGTTGGATTTTACTAAATAGATTTAGCCCAGGCCAAAAGCAAAACTCTCGTGGGAACTTTTAAGAGAAAGTCTTTCTGAAGTCAAGTTTTCTGAGCCTGCGATCACTTGAATACCATATCTGGTAGGCGGAGAACTTAAAAAGAAAACTTTACCTCACCGAGTTGTACATTTGAGCCCTCGATACAGTAATGTGACACTAGTCAGCAGATACCTTATTTTAATAGCTGTCGATTGATAACAACATGGATGCCCAGTATCAAGTTAAACACAATTCGTATATACCTTGGATTTTAAGCTAGAAAGTAAGACATTCCATATCCGCTAACATGAAGGGCCGGACGTACGTACCTACGGACCGACGTACGGACAGACAATTTTGTCAGAACCGAAATTTCTTGGATGCATAGCTGACCAAATTTTCGTACCGATGGTGCAACCAAAGCGCGCGACAGCTCCGCTATAAGTGGGATAAGATACAGTCTAGCCAGTTGTAAGGTGCCACCCTCAATGAGGAGACCTAGGTAATGCTTAACAGAGTTTCTACTTACAGCGATTTTCTGACGATTTTGGCAACAGAGAGTAACTGCGTAATAGGAGGCGGTTAAATAGAGGTTTGACCGTATTCACGCGCGCAATCAGCGATGTTTCGAAAAGGATGAATAATCTTCTTAAGGTACCTAATTAAGTCCGGCGAACTCGCTCGGACCACGTGACCCGAAACGCATTAGCCGCACGGAATAATGCGGCCTACGGACAAGGCAATGGCAGACAGTGGTTCCGTACAGTCCTTCACTATCATTAAAAACACTGGACACGGGAATTTTGTTATTGGCCGTTTTCACACTAGAGCTAGAAATGGATCATCCGTCTGAGACTAGCATGTGTACAGTCGCGTCCTCCCCACAGACATCCCTTCTCCGAAATTTTCTGAGTGGATGGGACGGCTGTACACAGGTTATCTGGAACGGATAATCCCGTGTTCAAAAGTCAGGCGGAGTGTTCATTCAAAATTAAAACTATTCCCTTTTCAAACTAAGACGTATTAGCTATCTGACGCGAATCATCAAAGGGATAACCCATCTCACACGAATAATCTTTCTCTAGTGTGAAAACGGCCATTTCTGTTATAATGAATGTCACGCCCCGACCTTGAGTTGGGCGTTCGCGTGTCTGCTTTTGCTTTTTCACAAAGATTATTTTTAAATTGACTGTTGACATTTCTAAGTGTAAAATAATATTAGAAGTGGAATACTTTATGAAAAGTATGATCTATCAAATGTTAAAATTTTTCAAAAGAATAGCTTATTTCATCCCGAGATGATCCGAAGACCTTTATTCAAAAAAAATATAGGTTAATTAATATTTAATTTTTTGAAACAAAAGAAGTTAATTTTTAACTTTTTCGTTAACCGTAACTGAAAAAAATTAACCGATAGCCGTAAAAGAGCCAAAATTTTAGCCGATAACCGTAAAGGCCACCACCCCATTGAGACCCTCTTAACAGGGTTTCGGATTCCACAAGTATCACCGTCTTGCCGGATCACGGATTAAGCAAAAATTTGCCGAATTCCGGAATTATCCGGATTACGTAAAATGAGGCGAGAAGAATACTACTTGGGCGTACCTTTGCTGAATCTTGAGCTAGTGCTTTGTAAAAATGGAAGTTCACTCCGTCTTCACTGTACTGTAACCTGTACTTTGTAACCCATTCGTACATATCACTTCTACCCTGAGTCGCTATGCGAGTCACTGTGGTATATGTCCCAAGATCAACCTGAAGCCACTGATAAATGTCATTGTTTAAAGAGCTCCAGGCTCCCTTCTTGTTTCCGAACCTTCTCCTATTCAATCGAGCTCTATGTGGACCATTATTGTCATGCCACTGAGANTTAGCCGATAACCGTAAAGGCCACCACCCCATTGAGACCCTCTTAACAGGGTTTCGGATTCCACAAGTATCACCGTCTTGCCGGATCACGGATTAAGCAAAAATTTGCCGAATTCCGGAATTATCCGGATTACGTAAAATGAGGCGAGAAGAATACTACTTGGGCGTACCTTTGCTGAATCTTGAGCTAGTGCTTTGTAAAAATGGAAGTTCACTCCGTCTTCACTGTACTGTAACCTGTACTTTGTAACCCATTCGTACATATCACTTCTACCCTGAGTCGCTATGCGAGTCACTGTGGTATATGTCCCAAGATCAACCTGAAGCCACTGATAAATGTCATTGTTTAAAGAGCTCCAGGCTCCCTTCTTGTTTCCGAACCTTCTCCTATTCAATCGAGCTCTATGTGGACCATTATTGTCATGCCACTGAGAAGAAGCACTTATCTGGGCATCAGAGATTGCTCCATTTTCCATACCAAGTGGAACCATACAACCTGTAATACAGTCAATAACGATAAGTAGAAATTAAAATGTTGGAGTATTATGGTAGAGGACCCTTGACAGTAGGACAATATAGTTACAGATCAAAGTAATAACAGCGGATAATATAAATACAGAGCAAAAACGTGGCGGAGAGCAGCAGGTCATTAGTTTGAATATTTGAAAATTTAGTTTGAATATAAATAAATGTACTTTTTTCACGACTTAGATCTGCTACCCTGACAAAATAACATCAGTTCCGCGTGTAGTTGCTTTCTGGAGTAGCCAATAGATAAAAATCGAAATCGTTAAAAATCGTAAGCGATCAATCGATTTTATCGATTGATAGCGGAAAACGGTGAAAAGCTATCTAAGGAAATATTTTAGCCTGAATTTCAGGCATCCCTTCGACTCTAGACACTCTAGAGGATGTCTATAATTCTGGCTGGGAAATCTTTTATCTAAGGTCTTATTTCTCGTGGTACTTGCCTGCCAGAAATGCGAATGTAATTGAACCGAACCGTTCTTGTTATTGTGTGCAAAAGGGTCACGGTTTTAGAGAGAATCTTGCGTCTATAATAGTTTCCACATTTCTTATTTTCATGTTTGTTGATCAGTTGTTACTCGTGGATGTGTTTTCTCAGCTGTACTATGTAACTTATGTCAAAAAACAACAATGTCGGACTTACCGTTATAAATCTACAAAATCACGAAAAATCGATAATATCGATTTGACACAGCAATTTAGTCTATCAGTTTCCACCGATTTCCCTTTTCAATCGATAAAAATCACTTGATTGCTATCGATTTTTTATCCATACTGATTTTTATCGATTGACCACTACGGGTGCAAGTTAGAAGAGAAATGATGCGATTTACAATACGACTGAGGGCAAAAGAAAAATACAAACAAAGAAAAAAAAGTAAGACTCGTGAGGAAACTATAATGCTGAAAGCCAATCAGATTGCAGGGATCACCAATGATTTCAAAATGGATATAATAAATAAAAGAGTACCTTGGCAACCGTAGATTTCCACTCTCGTCTTTATCCACCAAAGCCATAACACCGGCACAACTCGAATATATCGTGCCAAGATGGCTTCATTCAGTCGGTTGTAAAAAATTCCATTGGGACTGCCAGAATTTTCAGTAAACACCTGGAAAAAAAATCATTTACGTGTGTGACAATAATGAGCAGTCCTTTGAGACAGGGCGGCTTAGCAGTAAGAACGCTGGAACAGTAATCCGGAGGCCCCGAGGACTTTAGTCCCGTAGTTGCAGTGGCGCAAGGTCGAAAATTTTTCTCCGAAATTAATAAAAATCATTGCACAAAACATAGAATTAAGACTTGTAATATAACTGGATAAAAATGTAGATTTCTGTCAGTCACGTCTAGAGTACTCAACAATATCACACTGCTTAAATTCCCCTTCAACTTGGAGAGCGGCCATTATTTACCCGCACTTAAGCAAAATCGACGTTCACGGCTACAAAAACGTACTTAAAAAGTGACAGAATTCGCGCTGCTTCAAACTTTATCGTCCTAAGTACTGTAACAAAGTTCAGGAAAAGAAAAAGAAAGGTGTTCCCGTCCTCGACAAAACGACGGCAAAGAAATGTACTAAAAAACGTGATGCACGTGCAAAGTTGTTGTTTTGCTAATCAAACCTATTGCTTTTTTGCCGTCCTCTTTGCCGTTGCCGTCGCCGTCACCGTTGCTTAAACTCAATATTTAGCAAGCCCATCGTACCGTTGCATTCGAATTACCAGGCTCCTTGTAAAATTGCCATATGACTCCGTCAGAGCTATACCGGATCTTAAACTTTGTCACCCCGGCTCCTAAGAGTCCGCATCCACTTCCCTGAGTCGCGACACGTGTTACTTTGGTGTAACCACCAAGGTCCACTTGAAGCCACTGGTGAAGATCCCTTGTAGCCGCTGCCCAGCATCCTGCATTCCTCCACCAATGTCTTGAATTTAGCCTTGCCTTTTTTGCAGAATAGTCACGTCGCCCGCTCCTCCTGCGATGCGAAGATGCACTTATTCGAGCATCAGAAATGGCCCCGCTTTCCATTCCAAGAGGATCTATATATTTCAAGCAAAAAATTTGTCACACAAGGAAACAAAAAATAGAAAATAGTCAAAAGGTAGTGGAATTTCGTAGCCCACTTAGACAAGACCTCAAAGTACCCTATGGCAAAGGCCGACAGTGTTAGGCTACTATCACTTTACGTTATTGAATAAGTGTTTTTTCCCCTGTGTTGGAAGTCAACTTTAAAGAAAAAGACGCTAAAAAGGCCATATAATAAAGAACTTATTAACCTCGTCCGTTTGGTCATTACAGGGAAATCTCAGACCGAGGCCTCGATGTATAAATAGGGAGCTTAAGCAACGAAGACGGCGACG